CCCTATGGGGAAGTTTGCGTCGGGTTACGACCAACTCGGGATACGCCCAGAGTCACGGAACGGATTAAGTTCGTATCCCGAGATACCACTGTACTGCCTAGGTGCAGTTCAAGTCATATATTTTTAGGAGCTCCTATTCCCAAATTGATACACTCTAGATGCAATTAACTACCACTCTTGTGACCTTTATGGCCATGCTTTTTGATAGTTATGAGAATTCGTATCCAGTATATCTGAAGGAACAAGTTTCACTGAACTCATTAAGACTTAACTCTGAGGCGAACATGCGACTCTTCAAAACCTACATTACCTTTGTAAATTTAAAGCAAAGAGAAAACTGAGTCTTCAGATGTTACTGAACTATACCACTCTGCAGCCCTCACCACTAATTGTAGCTATCTGGAACTACTGCAAGTTCTTAGTTATCAGTCAACATTGGAATCCCCACCCAGCTTGGCTGCTTTTCACAGTCCTTTTTTAAAACAAAACATGTCTTGTTTGTTTTCATCTGTTCTTGATGTTTTTAAAAATTTCTAACCAGTTATAAAATTTCTAACCATTCAGGTTATATCTTAGTTGCCTGGCAGGGCGTCTATGTGTAACTAAGGGGTGGGACTTTGATTGCACATTGTGGCCCTGATCTTGACCGCCCCCATGGATGACCCTGTTCTCTTCTGTTTTCAGTTTAGACTCCTTCTGTTCTTTACTTATTAATAGTTTCGCTGACTTTTGGGAAGTAGTTCAGAAGAATGTCCAAAGAATTTTTTAAACATAATAGAAGAACATGCCAAACAGTTGGGGAAATTGCCTCCTGAAAGTGCTGTTATATTGATGTCTGCTCTCAAATAAGTCATTCCACATTCAGTTGTGCCTCTCCATGTAGCAAGTATAAAATTGTTAGAGATGTGCAGCTATTTAGATGTGAAGCAGAAAAGGTGCTTCAGAAGGGGAGGTAGGCAAGCTCACTGCACTTGTTGGCACCTCCTTAAAGAAAATATGCTTTTTCTGGCTGCCATGTAAGCCCAGGAAAAGCTGTGGTTTCTTATAAGAGTGATGACAGCTACAGCAAGTGCCACTTTTCAGCTTCCCATTCAAACAACTGCAGATTGCTAAAGATTTCATTTAGCTCTGTCACCCGAACTACATCAGTTCAGAAGTCAATCCTGTTGAATGTAAGAAGGTGGCTCTCCCTTCTTACATTCAACAGGATGTTACAAATGCAAATGGATGTAAATGGAATACAGAGTAGTTCTTGAATTGTCTGGTTATACAGTGGTGCTTAAAAGTTTGTGAACCCTTTTGAACTTTCAATATTTCTGCATAAATGTGATATAAAACACGATCAGTTCTCCACACAAGTCCTAAAACTAGATAAAAGAGAACCCAATTAAGTCAAAAATATTATGCTTGTTCATTTATTTATTGAAGGAAATGATCCAAAGCTACATATTTGTGTGTAGCAAAAGTATGTGAACCTTTGCTTTCAGGAACTGGTATGCCCCCTTTGTGCAGCAATAACTGCAACTGAATGTTTTGGTTTTTTTCAATAATTTTATTAAGAATTAAAGTAAACAGATAAAACTGATACAAAAACTTAATACAGAAGTACATTAAAATATTTTAAAAGTGCAGAAAAATATCCCCACTTCAAAAAAAAAAAAATTCCCCCTTCATCCCCAGCAAGTATATAAAACATTAATAACTTATCACTGTCTCTTAAAATACAACCAAATACATCTTCATTCCATACCTCACCCCATTTTCTATAAACTCATCTCTAATCTTCATCTCTCCTTATTAATCAGCAAAGGTTCAGTAAAAGTTGAGAGAAATACCTAACAAGTAGTCCCCCTTTCCATTTAATCAAAATCCCCCTAATCCCTCTCTTTAATAATCAAAATCTAATCTCAATTAACAATTAAACGTTACAAAAATTAAAACTTATTAAGCATTATCAGAAATAGTAATTCCTTATTTACATATAAAATAGTAGATGTTGCAAATCCATTACAGCCAGTTGAACATTTCCAAAAGGAACTGTTCAGCCAAAATAAACAGTAAACATCACCAGAGAGCAGTTCATTATTTAACCATAATCAAATACCAATTTGGTTTTTTTCTTCTTCTTCCTCCCAGCAGTGCTTAAGTCCCATAAATAAAGTTCTAACTTCTGCTTTCTTCTATCTTTGTCTCTTATTTCAAAATTCTTGTCATCTTTATCCAAATCCATTTGTAATTTCTGTACAGTAAGTCTAGTAGATCTCTTATATTCCAATTTAAAAAGGTAATCCACATCATTCTTTTGATACACTATTTTAATGTCTTTTTTACTTTTTAAATGATCATCCAATTCCATTTGTAAATCCAATGTTTCCATCTCTTGTAGGTTATAATTTTTTTATCAAAACTTTTATTAAGATATATAAAGCGTACAATTAAAATACAAATCAGAAAGTATAGAGGAAAGAGAAGATAGAACTAAAAGAAAAAGACAAAAACTAACAGTGAGATCAAGTAGAAAGATGAAACAGTGACTTCCAACTATCTCCAATACAGATATGAATACAAATTAAAAAAAAAAATCTTCTACCACTATTTAATCCTAATTCACATTATTTCTATCAACACAAACCATCTAATAATTAAACATTTCATTTATCTTCAAAAGGACTTGTTCCTCTTCATTTCATTTATCTTCAAAAGGACTTGTTCCTCTTCATCTAATAATTAAATCCCACAATCAAAGCTTCATTTTTTCCCAACCCAAACACGTAATCTAGGAAGGGTTGCCATGAAGAGACAAATTTAGAAACAGTAGGTTATAATTTTTAAGTCCACCTTAGTCCATTTCATTTATCTTCAAAAGGACTTGTTCCTCTTCAGTAACAACTTTTGGTTCCAGTATAGAGTTAAATAACTGAAGTACTTCTTGAGCCAACATATCAAACATTTCCTTTAAAGTAGCCATCTGTTGCCCTCTAGTGATCAGCCTTCAAAGTCTTGTTACCAGTTTGGAATGTAAGCAAGAAAAATGGTTCCCACACAGAGGGTCTTTCGAATTAACTTCAGAGTCTTTCTTTAAATCAATTTCATCAAAACTCTTAGTGTTTAAAAACTTTCCAAAAACAATACTATAATCACCCTTTTGATGTATATTGCAAAAAATGAAGAACTTACAAAGCTAGAAACACATAATTTTCTTTCTTTTTAAACGGATTGAAGAGAGACTCACCCAGTGAATGCTAAATTTGCAGTTCTGGAGATTTTTCAATGTTAAAAAAAAGTTTAAAAAATTAAGCTCCACAGTGATTGAAAAGAGGTTTGGTTGAACCTTGAGTCCATAAAAGGCTGCATTAGTGGCTCAGAGCATGATGGAACCTGTGACTCCCAGTTGATTGCAAGCAGCTGCCAAAACATTGGTTTCTGCCATCTACTCACAAAAACAACTGTCCAGAGTACATATGGGTAATCTCAAGATCTCTCTTTAATCCAGAGAGAATTTCAGCAGTCTGGATCCTGCATCCAGCTGCTGTTTTGGCTGTAATGCCCCTGTGATACTCGGAGCAGAGAAAAAGCAGAGTGTTAGTTCGCAATTCCTCACCTGAAGTCCACAACTAAATGTTTTCAATAACTGTTGATCAGTCCTGCACTTTGGCTTGGAGGAATTTTAGCCCATTCCTCCTTACAGAACAGCTTCAGCTCAGGGATGTTGGTGAGCTTCCTTGCATGAACTTCCTGCATCAGGTCCCTCCACAACATTTCTCTTGGACTGAGGTCAGGACTTGGACTTGGCCATTCCAAAACATTAACTTTCTTCTGCTTTAACCACTTTTGGTCGTACAATTTGTGTGTTTTGGGTCATTGCTTTGCCACATAACCCACTTTCTTTTGAGCTTCAGTTCATAGACAGATACCCTGCTATTTTTCCGTAGAATTTGCAGGTACAACAGAATTCATAGTTCCATCAATGATGGCCAGTCGTCCTGGTCCAGAGACAGCAAATCAGGCCCATACCATGGTACTGCCACCACCATGTTTCACAGATGGGATAAGGTTCTTATGCTGGAATGCAGGGTTTGCCTTTTGTGAAACATAACAGTTTGCATTCAAGCCAAAAAGTTCTATTTCAGTCTCAACCATCCACAGAACATTCTTCCAATAGCCTTCTGGTGTATCCACATGGTATTTTGCAAACTGTAGATAGGTAGCAGTGTTCTTTTTGGAGAATAGTGGCTTTCTCCTTGCAACCCTGCCGTGCACGCCATTGTTTCCAGTGTTCTCCTGATAGTGGTCTCATGAACACTGACATTCACCAATGCAAGAGAGTCCTTTAGTTTCTTAGACATTACCCTGGGGTTCTTTGAGACCTCCCAAAGTATGACATGCCTTGCTCTTGGTGGTATCTCTGTTGGTCCTGGGGAAGGTAACAGTGGTGCTAAATTGCCTCCATTTGTACACAATCTGTCTGACAGTGGACTATTGGAGTCCAAAATCTTTGGAAATAGTTTTGTAGCCCTTTCCAGCCTAGGGAGCATCAACAACTCTTTTTTGGAAGTCCTCAGAAATCTCTCTTATTCGAGCCATGACATACTTCCACATACCTGTGCTGTGAATATCAGACTTCGATAGTGAATACCCAGAATTCTGTTCTTTAAATAGGGCAGGACCTCCCACACTCACACCTCATTATCATCCCATTGATTGAAACACCTGACTCTAATTTCCCCTTCAGATGAAATCATCATAGAGGTTCACATACTTTTGCCACACACAAATACAGTGGTACCTCTACTTACGAACGCCCCTACTTACGAAATTTTCGAGATACAACCAG